CATTGGTAATGTCTGACTGGGCCTCGTGCCACTTTATGTTTAGTAAATTGGGCCCCGAGGTCAAAAAGGTTAAAAAGCCCTGATCTAAACAGTGTTCATATCTACCAGTGTTTCAGCTGTGCTCCTTTGTGATTCCAACATCTGGCAACATTGCACAATAAGGACACTTTGCAATCATAATATAAAATGRCAATAAAACTCCTGATTTATCAGTRTGTTTGTRTATAAAATTCAATAGGAAAGCAGAGCAGAATATTTCTGGGGGTATGGTGCCTTATTTTACATGTTCACATTAGTAAATGTAAAAGAAAGTCCATACCAGAAAACAGAGCAATTGGACTGCCTTCAATTCTGCATCTGCATCAGCTGTGTAAATGAACCATGACTGGTGCAAAACTGACCTTCACCCCGGAAAGAAGTTTCCATCACCACAAACATGCACAATAAACCTATGACCTTTGATTTCCAAAAAGTCTATTTTATAAAGTAACACTGAATCTTGTTTAAAACTTGTGTTAAAGAGCACAAAAATAAGATAAAGTATAAGCTGTACAAAAAATACAAGTATTTAACAAGATGTCATGACCAACAAAGTATACAGTTACTGAATACACACAMTGTGCATAGCTACACACACAGAAAGCTGTGTCAGAAGTTCCCAAACATCACAGAATTTCAACCTGGAACTCCAAACCTGTTCAAAATGAACAGTTACAGTGTGTGTGTAAAGACGGTAAAAAAAAACATTTCTACACACAATCACGCGCAGAAACACCTCTAAACACCCAATCTCACACSGCGTGGGTTGCAGCTTTCAAAATATCAATGTGTCAGCTAAACTGTTTCATGGACAGAATGATAAATAATGCAGTATTTTCCCCCCAACCCAAAAGAGCTTTAAGGCCTTTGTTTTGTTAAGAACTCAAGCAAGAAAAAGCTCTGATCGGTTTGTGTGAGTGTGCACACAAAAACATGAAAAACCTTTTTGGATTGTCTTTGAATGTTCACRCTCGTGCACACCAAAGCACAAAACGACCTTCAGAAACTTCTTTCAACACCAAACAGGCTGTGTTATTGTCTCATCCGGCCTCTAACGATGATTATACGACACCAGCTCCTGACCAGACTGTTGCCCTCACCTAACAAGCACCCAGGGGTGATATAAACAGAACCAACCAGGGAAGCAGTCAACTGAAGTTCACTTAGTGACRCTTTCAAATGGAAAAAGTGTCTATCATACCCAGAAGCAAAACTTAACTGCACCAAACTTATGCTTTCAAACTAAATAACCACAATCACAGCCAAACTTCCTTAGACTGCACAAACCACAGAGGAATAAATACGAGCAGTTTTATTGGGCCTCATGCAAGAACCGTTCGTATTCTTATCCTAAATTTCTCTTACTTTTGTTCGTACGAAGAGTTCGTACGAACATGCCACGTGTTCGTATCCAGCTGCTCGTGCACGCGAGAGGAGATTAGCATAATTGCCACCCCATATAAGGCTATGTTTCCTGCCTCAGACAAGGAAGTGTTCATTTCATGAAAATGAC